CCAAGAGACTCTTTAAAGAAAACAACCCCATGTACCTACTTGCCAATCTAAGAACATACAATCTGATAAAAGAACACTGGAAAAATAACCTCTAAAACTAAAAATCACCAGCTTTCCTTGAACATAATTTTCCTCGACAATCCCATCTTTGCCAAGTAATCTGCCATATTGTTGGAAGTCCTAGGCGAGAACACAAACTTACTCTCAGGTATCTTCAATACATTGGCATCAATTTCCTGAAAAAATGCTCCCCACCTCCACGAACGAACATAGAAATTCTGAACCCAATTCAAGACTACTTTAGAATCAGATTCTACGATCAGAATAGCCTTACCGCACCAACAAGATTCAACGAACACCTCTAGTGCAATTTTAATTGCTACCAGCTCCGCATAATCTGAATTCACCTCTGTTACCGGCCCAAAAAACATTGCTACTACATATCCATCTGCTATCCTCAAAACTCCCCCACAACCTGCTGATTTATTTGTTGCGGAACCATCCACGTTGAACTTCATCTGACCCGATACTGGCGGCTGCTAGACGATCTTAGAAGATTGATACACAACAGCTGACTTTGCAGGCCGATCCCACCAATATTTCTCGTCCAAATCAGTAAATTCCTTCAACGCCTTACACCAAGCAAACACTCTCATCTTCACATATACAAGCAAGTCTTTAAATTTAATGCCTTTATTTCGAAAAACAAAATCGTTCCTCGCGAGCCATAGACTCCATAATGCCGCAACAAAACTTACAAACCAAGCCAAAGCTATAGATCCTGACCACCTACACTGATAATAAAACTCAAAGACTTCATCCACTGTCTGTATATTTAAACCTAAAATATTCCACCACCTGCAAAAAGCATTCCAAAAGCAATGCATAAAAATACATGACACAAACAAATAGTTCGCATCCTCTTCAGCATCCCCACACCAAGGGCATAAAGTTTGAGCATCTGACAACGTAATTCCTCTGGATTTAAGGAATACCTTTGTTTGTACTCTATTCAATTTAAGCATCCATAAAAAATATTTCACCTTCGGAGGAACTTTTAGATTCCATATTTTGTCAAAATTAAACGAACCTACAACTTCAAAATTCCCATCACTAAGCAATAACTCAGACAATTTTTTGACCTTGAACAACCCATCATTTTCATGCACTCATACAATCCGATCTGCCACGGACGGATTTAAAATCACCTTGTCCACTTCTCGTTTTATAATCTCTACCATGGCTAGTTCTCTATCCAACAATTTTCTCTCAAACAATCCTGTCATAGCTAAACTCTGCCAATCGCATGCATTGAGCATTTCCCACACCGACATATATTTCCTTGACACTAACCTGTATAAATGAGGATATCTTGATCTTAAAGCCATTTTTCCAAACCACACATCCTCTCAGAACAATGTTGTTTTCCCATCACCCACTATCTATCGAAATGATTATCCACTCATTCATTTACCTATTCCATCCCCATATAAATTACTAACGATCCCTCTCCAAGTTATAGAAACATTTTTTTATTCCTCCTTTACTAACCAACCAGGACAGATCACCTGAGCCGTATTTGTGACATATTACTGACCTCCATAATGCCCCTCTTTCGACAGCAAATCTCCATCCCCACTTCGCTAATAATGCCTTATTCTTTACCTTTAAATCAATTATTCCAGCTCCACCTCTCTTTCTCGGATTACACAATCTACCCCAGTTCACCCTCGTTAATCTCTTTTTATTACCATCATATCCCCACAAAAACCCTCTTTTAATTATCAAATTTTGATACTACTAATTTCAGAACTAGGAATATCGACATATAATACAAAGGCAACAATGAAAGCACTGAATTAATAAGAACCACTCTTCCAGCAAACGACAACATCCTGCTTTTTCAGCCCACCAATTTGACTCTGAAATTTTCAATTACTGGATCCCACGTCGATATTTTTCTCGGATCCGCCCCTAATGGGATTCCTAAGTACTTGAACGACAAGGTGCTCACAGTACAACCACATAATAATGCTAACTGATTCAAATTGTTTTCTTCAACCTTCACCCCCTGCTAAACACAATTTCCTTAAGTTAATACTTAACCCCGAGCCCATTTCAAAGCATCTCCGAATTCGCTTAACATTGGAAATACCTCTTTGATCTGGACGAAGAAACAGAATCGTATCATCCGCAAATTGCAAATATGAAATACTTGAATTTGGTGCCATGTTATCGATGTCTTCAATGTATCCTTTTCGAACATCTTCTTCTAACAATAAATGGAGAGCCTCTGTTATCATTATAAACAAAAACGGGGACAATGGATCTCACTGTCTTAAACCCCTGTGCATCTTGAATTCTTTTGTGGGAGACCTATTCAATAAGACAAAATCTCTAACAGTCGAAATGCATTCCCAAATCCACCGTCTCCATTTGCATCTAAAACCCATACAATTCTGCACCGAGTCTAAAAATTCCCAATCAACGCAATCGTATGCCTTTACAAAATCTAATTTTAATATCAAACCACCTCTCCCTCCCCTCTCTTTATTCAAAGAGTGAATAACTTCTTTTGCCACTAATATTCCTTTGAAAATATGTCTTCCAGCTACAAATGCACATTGGGTCTCACTTATCATCGTTCCAATCACTCTTCTTAATCTTTTTGCTAACACTTTAGCAATTATTTTATACACGCTGCTCACTAACGATATTGGTCTATAATGTGAAATTTCAGTTGGATTGTCCACTTTCGGAATCAATGCTAAAAATGATAAGTTAACACGCTTCCCCAACTTTCCACTCGTGTTGAAACTGTCCATAGTCTTCATCAAATCTCCTTTTATATACTCCCATGACTTCTTGAAAAATTCTATATTAAAGCCATACGGTCCAGGTGCTTTTGTCTCACCACAACTCCACACAACTCCACACAACTTCTTTAACTACTTCAATCGAAAAATTCGCTTCCAGCTCTTCAACATCAGCCTTTGAAAGTTGTTTGAATGGAAGATTGATCACCGTTTCCCACTCCTTCTTCTTTCATCTAAAATGATTGCTAAAGAAATTAAAAACTTTAGCTCTAAGTTTTTTTGGCTCCAATTCAATGTCCTCTCCTAAATTAGCTCCCAAGATCAAACATTTTTTATTACGAATCTTTACTACTTTATCAAAAAAAATAGAATTTTCATCTCCCAATTTCAGACAGTTTAATCTAGATTTCTGACGCCAAATATCCTCATTCTCCCTCAAAGGGTCCCATAACCTTCGTGTACAATTCAATACCTCCTCTCTTTCTCCATCATATAATCCTATATTATCTCATTTCCTGTCCAGCTCATTGATCCTCTTCTCTAATTTCTTTGCTTCACTGTCAACATTCCATTAACATTGAGTGTTTCATCTCTTAAGTTCTCCTTTCACTCTCCTTAACTTCACACTTAATTCTTCATCTCTTGCTTCTTCTTGCTGAAATGTCTTATTGATAACTTCAGTGCAACTCTCCTGTTTTAACTAACTGTTTACCAATTTAAACGGTCTAGGCCCCCAATCTATCGTCTCCTTCCCCAATAAAATAACAATATGATCCGAGACTGTTCTCGGCAACCCCAGTAGGGATACATCACTGTTTACTTAGAACCATTCATCCTCAACAAGAATCATATCCAAGCGACTTTTTCTATTTGCCAGCCCAAACCAAGTGAATTTCCTCCCTGATAAAGGCATGTCAACAAGATTACAGTCTTCTATGAACTCATTGAAAGATGCAATCTGTGTTTGTCTGTACAAACACCCACTTCTCTCACTATGATTTCTAATTGCATTAAAATCACCCGCCATGAACCGTTTATTATTGTTTTTCCTCCTAACTTCCACAATTGCATTCCATAATGAAATTTGTTCAGAAACTTCACCAGGTGCATAAACGTTCAAGACAGAACATATCGAATCATCTAAGGCATACTTCCCTTTAATCAAAATGAACCTTTCTGTAATTAAGCTATCAAGAATCTGAAAACTATTCTTATCCCAAACAGTTAGTATACCCCATATCTTCCCATTGCTTTCGAAAATTTAAAATCAAATTCATCATCACACCAAAATCTACTTATTTCTGCATCCTTAATATCCTCATTCTTTGTCTCTTGTAATAACACAAATTCAATTCTATGAGTCCGAATAAACCTTCTAAGTTCTGAAATTTTCACATTAGAGTTCATACCTCTTGTATTCCGTGACAAAATCCGCATCTGGACTTCTCCCCCACTGATTTTCAGCTAAAATTCGATGGATTGGGATTGAGACTCTCCTTCAAAATCATCCGCAACTGCAATTTCCCTAACCAAAACCTCCTCTGAGCCTTTAAACTGTATACCCAGCTCTCTGCCTAACTGTAGGGTTTTTTTCACTTCCTTCTTTTGTCTCTGCCATCGTTCTTGAAGATCCGAATCCGATACTGACCTTCCTTCAATTTCCGTCGACTCTTCCTCGCTTTGCACCTTTCTCTGATGTTTCTTGACACGACAACTTCAATTTTTTCTGGGTACCACCAAAATTTTCTTGTATTCTCTGAAGGGAACTGTATTTCTTTTTCTCCCCGTCTTTGCTCCTACGTTTTGCCTGGGATTGAAACTAACAATATCCTCGCTCAAGTTTGTTAACATACCCAACCCCAGATCCTGTTCTCCCCGCTCTGATCCCAAATTAGGCTTACTTCCCTTTCGTTTTATCTCATTCCCATCAAAATGGACCTCTATTCCTTTAGCATCTTTTTTAGATAAAAAATTTGTGAGGCCCATAAAGTATGTGTCCTCCATCACTTTTGCCCCTAAACTCCCTTCCCATAGAGACAAATCCTTTAAATTTTCATTAATTCCCTCGTTAGCCTCCACCACTTTAATTAATAACCTATTGTCATCTTCTGCCACTCCCCCCTCGTGTTCCATCCCCACCTCGTATTGCTTTTGAATATTCCCAGAGCTTACATCAATTTCCTTCTACCCCATTATTGCTTCCTCCCCAATGTCTCTCTCATCCACGCCCGATATATAGCCGCCCCTTGATACATTCCCCATACAACATAGCTGGCTATCGTCTCCCTCTTGCCGCCTCTCCGAATTCTTCTCCTCCGAGGAATCTAAACTCTTGTCGGCCGACGAGCTCGATTCACCAGCGACTGAATTAACTTTAACTTCTCGCTTATGACTGCTTGTTTCACTTCTATTAGTGGGCAATTCCACAATTCTAATTTTAAAAACATCTCTTCCTGCTTCCAAATCAACCATATCATCTATTAAAACATTTCTACTAGTTGCAATCAGGATAGATATCTCCTCACATCCCAGATCCTGAAAAGCATTTTCTCCCATTGCTAAATATTCTCCCCAATGCTCAGCTAACCTTTTAAAAGTATTATGATTCCAGCAGTGTAACGGAACACCAATTAATTTAATCCAAGTAACTCTTTCAGAAGCTCTGTAAGATTCTGTCCATGGATGAACTTCCACGAACACTTCCAATAGGAACAACCATTTATGCTCCTTCATGATCGTATACAACTCGTCGTCAACAAATTCTATTAAAAAATCTCTCCCTCCCAAGCACTTGATCTTAATCTCACCCAGACCTCCTGCTCTTACTCTATCTTCCACATGAGTTGAAGAACAAACCGTCGCCATTGTTCCTACCAGGCATTTCTGGAGCTTTCGAACGACATCCTCATCAATAACCCCCTGTATAGTCGTACTTCTCCTGCATACTTTCACCTCAGACTCTTCTTCACTATTCATTTTATCTTTATGTACCCTTGTATCTGCGCTGAAGGATGAATGACTATTCAGATTCCCACTCTGATCCTTGACTCTGTACCGCGCTTCCTTTACTGATAGTCGATAGCCGAATAACCAAAAACCGTTTAACCTCTGCATTGTTCTTACTGTATCATCTTTATTAGAGAATCTAACGAAACCAAATCGCTTCCCCATTCTGTCATTCTTCCTCGCTATGTAAGAGCTAACCACATCTCCATGCCTACCAAATAATTGTCTCAAACCACTCCAATGATATCTAGGTGGTATGTTTTGAACGAACAGGGTTTGACACTCATCTACTTTCCCTGATCCTTTCGCTGTCGATTGAGCCATTACCCACATTGATCGGATCTGTTGTATTACCAAATGTTTAATATATCTCGAGCACTCTTTTTCCCTTTGGCAGTCTGAATATGCTAAGTATTGTTCTTTTAAATTGAAATAAAAAATTATTTTCGACTCATTTTGATAAGCACAAATATATAATACCGTCTAACACACAAGATGTTATATATTTGTGTTTCGTTTTCTAATTCTTTTCTATATTCTACTTTGAAAACGGTAATACCCCAAATTTTGTGTAGTGACTAAAATGTAAGTTTTGAAATATTAATGGCTAAAGTATAAACTTTGAAAACTTAAGGGACCAAAATTGTAATTTTTAAAAGTTATATACTTTAGCATGTAAATGAATATTTTTGGATTAAAACATAGATTTTAGTGGGAATCAGATTTTTGGTGCGGGATTTGTGTTAAAAGTTATAAAGCGGTAAAGATCAATGTTGAAATCGGATAATTTGATCGAACCAAAATTTTACAAAAATTTGAAGGATGTTAGAAAATGGTTGGAAATATTATTTTCATATTTTAGATCAGAGAAATTTGGCTCAGAACAGTGTAATTTTTCAGATTTGACCAAATAGTATAATTCTAGTGACTAAAATGCAATTTTTGAAAATTACATGGCCAAATTCAAAAATCAAAGCCAAATTGATTCATCTGCCAAGGAATATTTTAATGAAAGATATGACAATGAAATTTGGTAATTTTTAAGATTTATTAAGGGTATTTTTGAGATTTTTCATTAATTGAATATTAAATTCAATTAATTAGGAAATGCCATGTGTTTTTTCTTTTCAATACTAGAACATTCAAGAGAATTAGCACATTTTCAGATTCTTCCTTCATTTGGCCGAAAGTTCAAGTCCTAACAAAGTAAGATTTTTATTTTGATTTTTGAAGCTATATACTTGATTTTTGGATTTAGCTATTAGATAGAGAATCAATCTACATGAAATTCTCTATCATTTGGTACCAATATTTCATGGTGAAGACGATTATGTGATGATATTTTATGATTAGGGTTTAAGGAGGGTTTAGTGATTTTGAAGAATTGATGAAGGATTTTTATGTTTTTGATGTTGGTGATTATTTCTAAAGCATGCATAATGATTAGAACTAATTGTGCATGTGTATATAAGATTAGGCCATGTTAGGGTTTATGGAGAATCATAGGATTTTGATTTAATTTGATGTTGTGATGATGGGAAATGCATGAATTTAATCATAGGAGGTTGAATTCATGCTTGAAATAGAACTAAAACTTCTCCCTAGGTGATATAAAGCATTCGAGCATAGGGAAGAAAATTGGGGGAAATGTTGAAAAATTTCCTATGTATTAGAAATGATATTAGAAGTATTCTATGTTGTTTGGAGATTGATTTGGATCAATTTGGAACCTTAAAAGTGCAAAAGGGTTAATTTACAAGTTTTTGGAATTGTGGGATATTATTGTAAGATTGAAATACTTGAAGGGTTCAATGTTGATTTTGATATTTATAATGTTGGAATTTTAGTTGGAAAGTTGTTTGAAAACCAAATTGCAAATTTGGTAAAATTAGTAGTTGAATTCGAAAGGTCCTAAAATCATGGGGATTTGTTTGCAAGTTATTAAATGTAGAGGTATTATTTGGGTAAATTATTGAATGTTGGAAAATTTATTAGTATGATGAATTTTGAATTAAATATTGAGTTGGGATTGAATTACAAATTTATAAAGTTAGGTGATGAAAATCGAAAGTTTAGGAAAGTTTGGGTTGAAATTTATAATGTTTTGAATGTTGAAGTATTGATTTGTGTATTTTATTTAAGTGATGGAATTTTAGTAATTTATCTGCAATGATCATAATGGTGAAGGACCATTATAAATTAAATAGAAAGGTGGAGGTGAATTCTAAAAAAAATTTATAATTTATGGCTTATTTGTGTAAATTAGAAAAGATGAAAAGTTAAGGATGAAAATAAATATTAATGGATTTGGATGAGTATTTTGAGAAGTCTGAAATTATAATGGAAATGTGATTTAGTTGATATCGATTTAATCTCGATTTTTATTTTATAGATTTTTTAATGTTAAAATCAGCTTATGTTAGTACGATACTAATATGCAGTTCGAACATTTTGTGTTATAATTTAGTATTGTCAGACTACGATAAATCTAGTAATCCGAACGATCAGAAAAGAAAGGACAAAGCTCGTGACTAGGACTATTGTATACAAGTTCTGTAGTGTGGCAAAGGTAAGTGCAATTTATTTATTTAATTATTATGATTGAGGACGACTTGTGATAAGTCAACCTCACCTTGTTTATTTTTGAATATATGAATTATGTTTTGATTTTGGAAATATATCTGTAATATTTTAATGAATGATTTTGGATATGAACTGCCCATGTCATGTTTTACGAATGTGAATTAAATATTTTCTGATTCTGATGTGATTTTTATTTAAATGATTTCAAAATGAACTGAAAGCCCATTGTATGTTATATTGAGAGTCAAAGGTAAAATTGACATGCTATGAAGTGGAGTGATTATCTGTAAGGTAAAATTGGCATGCTATGAAGTGGTGTGATTATCTGTTCTGATTATGATATATTGCGGTGTACCGAAATGTACACTAGTATATGTATTCTAATCTGAATGCACTTTGTGTGCATATTATTATTTCCAATATGATAGCATTGTGTGTGCTTATTTGTTCCGATTCTGATGATGACACTGAGATTTGTATTGCACACATTCGTCTGACTCACGTACCTTATATTCTCTTAAATATACTATGGGCTATAAAAATGAAATATGAAAGTTCTGAAAAGTGTACGACTATAAAGGAATGTTGACTGATTATTCTGTCTGATCTGATTTATTATGATTTTGTGAAAAATCATCAGATGATTCTTTTCAGGTTTATGATAAAGTTCAACATGAGATATCTGGTTTGAACATTCTGAAAATTCAGTCTATTTTATTTTTAATGATTATATATATTTCGATATTTTATTTATTTGTTCTTACCTTTAGTATTACTTCCCCACTAAGTTATACTTAGAGCGTGATTATTTTCATGCATATGTTTTGATTGTAACACGGACGTTTTGTGGGGAGCCTCTCAAGCATCATGTGTAGATCATCTGTAATATTAGTATCAGTAAGACATCACCGGTGTTTCTTTTGACTAGTAGTGACATGTATAATTATGTTATTAGTCTGCTTTATCAGTTATGACTATATGGTTTGTAATAGTAAATAGGACTCTTTAATTTGATTAGTTTAGTTTGTTAGTATTTAATATGCTTAAAATTATATAGTAGATAAAATATTATGTTTTTTAATGGTACAAATTTTTAAGTAAAAAAATAAAATAGTTTTAAAAGTTGAAATTAAGAATGTTTTAAAAGAAAAAAAGTTTTATGCAACTGTGAATAATGATCGTTAGTCGTTTGATGTAACATCTATGGCTCGTATTCTTAGATGTTTACTAGCTATGAGTGTTATAAAAACTCTTCAAATTAAACATGTTTTTTGAATGAAAGAAAAAACTCGTACAAAAAAAATATTTCATTGTTTTTTTGTTGTCTTCCCAGTTCTAAAGCTTTGCTTTGACTAATTCGAACTAACTTGCGTCACACACCTGGTTTTGGCGAGTAAGTCTCTCAGGAGGGATTTTCTATACACACCATTTTATAATTTTTAATAATCGATGGATTTAACAAAGCAACAACCTATAGTCGGGAGATCATTTTAAATGGAATGTAAAATACTAAATGAAAATGATTAAAGCATCCATGTCACAATAGGTTTTATTTACGATTTGGCCATTTAATTTTATCTATTTTTTATTTTGGTACCTAAATTACTATTTTCTATTTTAATTTAGGTACATAAATTACTATTTTCTATCTTATTTTACCTTTAAAATCTATCATTCTCTAATAAAAACATGTCACATGCCATAAAAGGGGGGGATTAGGTACCAAAATGGAAATTTTGTATAATTTAGAAGTCAAATTGCGAATTAAACCAAAAAGGCATTTTTTATAGGCAGATCTTCCATTTTTATATATATTACATTTGACTTCACTTTATTTTAGTTAATTAGTTTTCATTTTCAAACATAAAACTTCAAAGCACGCGCATCAATCCATTCCCATTTATAGACCTGTTCGTAGAATTCAAAGTTGAATAATAATATATATAGTTTGTTAGTTAGTTAATTAGGATCCAATTACACAATATAAAATTAAAGAGTTTTATATAGATTTAGGATCGTTGAATAAGTAAAATTAGATGACTTAGATTGACTCATTGTTTTTTTATAGTGAATATCTTTTCATTTCTTAGTGTTAATCTCAGTCATCAATTTTTATTCGATCCTAAATCTGTATAAAACTAAAATAGTTTTACATTATGTATAGGATCCTCTCTCTATATATATATATATAGTGTTCCACTTACAGAATGTAAAACTAAAGAGTTCTACACATATTTAGGATCATTGAATGAGTGAAAATAGATTATTGAGATTGACTTTTTATTTTTTATTTCCATCCAACGGTCCCAGATCAATTAGTTTTACATTGTTTAACATGATACTATTTCATATATATATATATATACACACACATAATTTTCCTGGAAAATGCAAGAGAATTCCGGATACCCTTTGTTGGGGGAATTAAGATAAGAAAAGAGTAGTGATAAAACATCAATCAATGTTGAGCAATAGGAGTTTGAGAAAAACAAGGGAAACAGTAAAACTTTCACATTCCGAGCATAGAAGCGTTTCATGGGCATATTTCCCCATAAACAAAGACAACTTCAGCAACAGCAAAACATCCCGTTTAAGGTTTAAAGTAGACCAAACTTTCATTGTGACAGTAAGGGGACATGTTTTTTTTGAAGGTTGCTTAAGTGACAGCCATTGTTTTCTGGGTTTTGCAAGTAAATGGGTTTCATCTCTTTCTTCTGACGGTTAACCTCTCTTACTGATGG